CTACTAAGCATGATTTAAAACTAAGAATAAGTGAACTCCAACAAAATAATTACTATCATTAGTTTGGTACAATTATATTCATTAATTAATTATTTGTCAATGATGATGTTAATTCATACATATTTACAATATTATGACAACCGTTTATCGATGAGTTAAACAAGGGGAAGGGAAAAGGGTTAACCTAACCCTGATTTTTTTTTCTTTTGAAATGTTCTTTTAATAGGAAAAATATCTGAGAAGATCCCTGTCATTTTCCTTTCCACCGAAACAGTTTTGCTTCTTTTGAATGGGCTCAAACCGCCTATTTTGTTCACATAGGATCAAAATCCCGATTCTGGTATGATTTTAACGATTTTAATCCCGATTCTGAATGATTTTAAGGTCCATCGATTTTATAGTAAAATCAAGATCGAAATCCCAAAGTAAAATTCTAAAATTCTACGATTTTACTATCAAAATCCCGATTTTACTATCAAAATCCCGATTTTAACTGCATTACATACTTGAATGGATTACAATTTCTTAGCAAAATCACCTACAACTATTCAATGTCACTCCTAATATGAAAAACAAAAGTGAGAACCAAAGTAACAGCAACATCGTATAATTATGAACTGAGAACCTGAACAGAGGATTAGAAGATTATGAACTGAGCTAGCCATCATAACACTTTTGACTCCCATTTTGCAGCAACTATTAGCGTTTATGAACAACCGAAAAAGTCACAATCCACTTTGTCAGCAAAACTCCACATCAAAGAGAGAAATAACAGCAAAATATAGTTATGACTTATTTTCAATCGCAACAATCGATAGCAGAAATGGAATCATGTAAGAGGTACCTCTTTGTCCTTATTTTGTAGGAAAGTAATTGGTGCAGAAAACCAGCAAGATGCAACAATCCTTTGTCAGAAGAAAGAAACAAAGTGTGCATTATAAGTTCAGAACTTACCAAATCACAAGAGTTTCAAGTGACCATTCATAAAACATTATAAGGAAGATTTAACAAGTGAAATTCAGCAAATATTTCAGACCATCCACATTCTGTTGAATAAACAGAAAATTAAGAAATAAGTCAAGGTAAAAGTGGACTATGAGTGCAAGCTAGAGAATGAAAGGATAAAAAGACACCTGAGTTGTCGAACTACAATGGGCAAAACTAGCCCATTCTATATCTCAATGTGTATCTAGACCTTCGCATTTACCACGTCAAGCCTTTATCAGATTCTTTTATTTTAACCAAACCTATAGAAATTTTATTTATTATCCAAACGTATTATAATTTATCAAAGTCCGGGCATTCATTCTGTTACCGTTACTTATTTCGTCCACGTGAGGGGTGGGATTTTGTTTTGTTTTTTGATAATCTTTTTATTAAAAATAGTAAATGATGGTATTCTGACCGCCACGTAGGAAGTCAACTCATTATGGTCATACTTAGTCAGCATTACTAACAGAAAAGTTGACGGAGAGTTAACGTTTGGATAATTTTTAGGAATTCAATAGGTTTGGTTAAAATAAAAGAATCTGAAAAAGGTTTGGGTAAAAAATAGACATTGCCCTAAATTTTTTACAGAAAACGGTGGAAGTAACAAACTTTTGGATTTACCAACAAGTCCGTCATGAAATCGATACAATCAGTGGCGTAGCCAGGATTCTATGTAATGGGTGCAATTTTTTTAAAAGTAAATTTAACTTATATGAAAAATTATAAATTATTGCAACGACGCAACATTATTATACTCGAATTAAACTTTTAAAATATGTATTATTTATATAAACTATCAAAGGCTTACTCTCAATATATCCTACCAAGTACTTGTTAATCATTCAAATTTGTGTAGTTAAAGCCAGTCAGGTGATCATGGATAGCCGACAAACGATGTTTGGAATGAGATGGTAGAGGCACGCAACTTAGCAAATAGCAACCATGTTTGAAAATAATTGGATACCAACCTCAATAAATTGACATAGTGTTATTATGAGAGAATAAGAGTTACCACACATTGGAGCTAACAATTATATAAAAACTGGAGATTTAAAAATTAAGTTATTCGCATGTGGTTTTGATCATTTGATTTTGTTTATGTGCAAACTGGGTTTTAATCTATATAATTGAAGATAATTTAAGTGTATGATATTAATTATATTGTAGTTTCGTATTAGAAATAATATGAATAGGAATAGGGCTCCATATTAAGTGTTATTGTAAATAAACTAATATACCTACTTTTAATATTGTTCATTCCAAATACTAAGGGTGTGCACCAATACACTCCCTCCGCCCCTGGATACAATCATTTTTCTCGTAGTGACCATTTTCAACACATTAGAAAAGTGTTTATGCAGTGAATCTTTATGGTGCTGATTAAAAGTCCCCAGTATTATAAACGTTGTTGTAAGATATATTTTTCCTATATTTTTTTTATAAATGGTGACATAGAATTATCCAACTTTCCGATTGCTCAAGCAATCATTTGGACAATTTGTTGGCTCTCAAGTCTCAACGGAATGAATAATACACTAACCTTGTTCTTCAAATACAAAAATGGAGGTTTAATTTAGTGTTATTTTGATTTGGGTTATTAAGTAGTGTGTCACAGTCTTTCACGGTTTACTGCGATAGATCGCGGTTCTAAATCGCTTAAGACCACACACTAAAAGAGGAGATCACAAATCAGACCAGACTATATTTCTGATCTCACAGTCCAGACTAAACCATACGATACGATCTCAACTGCAATTTCTCTTACGATTTGGTCTAGATTCCCAATCCTAGCCACATGAGAATAAGTCCTCAATGAAATCAGATATATTTTGTTTTTGTTTTTTTTTTTTTTTTTTTTTTGTCTTGAGAACTTTCCTGAGTATGTAAGAAGTCAAGAGGAAAACGATAGTCGGAGGAAGTTTAATTAATAGAAGATTGCATTTTCATTCTACATTATCCGTCGTGCATGGCCGAAAAGAATAATGAAGTTTGGCAACTTACGAGCGTCGTTAACTCTTAGTTGCAACGAACAAAGACACACGCATCCCATTTAGAAGAAAAGGATATGAAATAACTTTGGGTGACTATAAAAATCATTAATTCAAAATCATTGGTTTCTCCTTCGACTGAATTATAAGATTACTATTACGTACAAGTGGTATTTGCAATTTTTTACTTGAGTCTTGCGATCCTATTTGTCAGTGATTGGTATTGCTCAATCCGTAATAGTGTGAGGCGGAACATGAGCACTATTATTGATATCTTGTCTCGCCACATTTTCTACTTAATCTTTCTTAATGTGTCCTACTAGTTACTTGTTTTTTTAATAATATTTCTCTAAATCTTATTTGTACTTAGTTCACATAAGCAATAACACTAAATGGACCAGAACAATTAGGAAATATTCAGTGAACCTTTGAATAAGCACAACATTTTATATTCACAATCATTAGATACAACTATTCAATCAATTATCTAGCGCTTTCATTTATTTAGTATTTTCTATTTATTTTCTCCTAAAACAGTTAATTTTTGTGTATTTCCTTTCTTCAAATAGCAGGTAAGAATGGATCGATCTGACTCGTCTCATATCCACATGTGTAATAACCAACTGGTCTAGGATTTGGTGCATAACCATTGATTGTGCATTTAGCATAACTAGATATGACCACTTGATTTTGTGTGGATCAGATCTATGGGTGAGATTAAAAAGTTTTTTGTATTTTCCCTACTTTTTTTAGTTGACTTGTGTCTTCTATGTTATAGCATGGATTTTGAAGTTTTTTTTTTCACATGTGGAATGAGTTCACTATGATCTAAACAAAATGATAACCATTTTTAATATATTTGGAGAAAAAAATTTGTACCACTCATTATCACACGTTATTACCCTGGTATCACTCTGTACCACCTTCATTCTTAACTCAAATTTTGAAAAAATTTGTACAGAAGGAACGAGTTTATTATGTTCTATAAATTTCTGGAATAAAAAATTGAGGACAAAATATACCACTCTGGTACACAATTATAGATGGTGGTAAATGACGATTAGTATATTTCTTCTATCATATATATAATGATTCTACACTATGGTATATTCATACACCAATATATAATCTTATGAACTACCAAAAATTACCACCATTGTATAGACCGATAACTATATATCAAAGTAAATATATTTGAAAAGCATGAATAATTTATTTTTGTTTGTAAATAAATCTAATTCCAACTTAAAACGAATATATATAGTTAATTTAATAAATTGAAGAAAAAGTAATATATGTGTTGAAGTTTATTAGTTTAGGTACCCACTTGTAATTTATCTAAGCCATTTATGTCTAAATTAAACCCCACTCATGTATATTCTATGTATGATGTATATATAGCCGAACTCCTTCTGTAATTAGTTTAAGCATTATAGTGAAACCCTTTGAAGAGTGTCATCTCTCCCATGGATTAGTCTTGTACTATCAGGGATGTTCGTTTGTGTCGTTTGCTATTCCTTACAATATAATCCTACCACTTGCCATCACAAATTAGCAGTGCAGAACATAAACATTTGGTGTTCGACCGACCGACGAATCCAAGGCAAGAAAGAAGCAAACACAACTACTTGTTAGTGGAAAACCGCTTCCAACCCAATTTGTCTTTGACATCGTTGGAGTCGTTATGAGATTTGGACTAGGGGTGGCAGTCGGTCGGTTTCGGTTTAACCGAAAACCCTGTTATCGGTTAAACCGAGCCACCACCAACAGATGCCGACCACCGACCGTGAGATAGGTCACAGTTAGCCGGCCAACCGACCGTCGGTTTCGGTTTTAGGCTCGGTTAGCCGGCCAACCGAAAAACTACCTTTTCTATAAAAACAAAAATAAATAAGAAAACAAAAATTCCAGACCACTCATCTCCAACCTTATATCCTCGGCTCCTCCTCTCTCTTTCCTTCCTCCACCAGAGACCAGACCACTTCTCTTCTCTCTCCTTCTCTTCCTCTCACCTTCTTCCTCTCACCAAACCACTTCTTCTCTCACCTTCTTCCTCTCACCGATCCACTTCTTCCTCTCACCTTCTTCGAACTTCATCTGCGCACTTCGGGTTCGGGACTTGCGGATATGCATGTTCTTGCCACCGTTTCTTCCCAGCGACGCCTCTGTCATCCTTCGGCTCGAACTCCTCGACGCTCCTACGCTCTCCGACACCTCGCCGCTCCCTCCTGACCCCACCGCCACCGACGACGGCGGGGACTTGAACGCCGCCGCTAGTGTCTCCACCAGTTGGTCCGATTTCGGCCTCCATGAAAAGAAGTAAAGGACGCCTTGGCCACCGCAGTCGATTTCGAATATGCCGAATTCATCTCGGGCCAATCTCCCCGCCGCCGGGAAGAAGGCGACGAGGGCCTGGCTCAGGGACTCTTTCATCGCCCCAGCGCCTGTGGCTCTCCAACTTGGACCAGTTGTTCGTCCAAAATAATGTTGAGCGGCGGAAGTTGAATGATTTGAGAGGAGGAGGGAGTCGACTTAGGGTTAGGAAGGAGGAGGATTGAAGCGGGGTCGTTTTGGGGAAAGGAAAGGGGTCGGTTAGCCGGTTAACCACCGGTTTTCGACCCCGGTTAGTCGGCTAGCCGAACCTCTTCCCATCTCTACCGCCAACCGACCGATGCATGCAGAAACGGTTTTTTGGTTAGCCGAAAACCGGTCGGTTCGATTGAAGCCGTCCGGTTAACTGCTAACCGGAAACCGTTCTGCCACCCCTAATTTGGACAGCTCGATTGGCCCTTCCATACTGTTCATCATTCTCCAAACCGATAGTAGCTGTGTAGTGCTGCACAAATAGTGCAATAATATCCCCAGTCGTTGCTGTTATTTATATCCATGAACGTACATGACATCAATGCTATTGAAAGAGAATTCGATAGATCGATTAGGGTTCTTGGAGAAATTTGGGGGAAATGAAAGAGTAAGGCGAGATGGACATTCTCTGCCTTTTACTGATTTTCAGAGTTGGGCCCGAAACTTCCAGGCCCACAAATACAAGGCAGCAAACACGGGCTTTAAAGAGAAGCCCACTTCAGAACAGCCCACGAGGTAATGAAGAGATAGTCTTCTTCCTCAGCAAGCCGAGCAACTGTTCTGAAGTTTGAAGAGAAAAGCAGAGGAACCAAAAAAACAGAGCAGCGAAGGAAAAGAGGCGAAACAGAACACATCGATTTTTAACGAGGTTCCCCAAACTACTGGGTCAGTCCTCATCCTAGACTCAGTACTGCACTGAGGTCTAGGAGACTCTGTTTTTATTAGATTTTCCTATCAAGCAAAATGAAAATGTAAAGAAGACTCAAACAAAGAAGAGAGAAAACTCCGAAGAGAGAAAACTCTAATCAGCAAAACCCGGATCCCCTAACCCAGACCCGTTACACCGTCAATTGAACAGATCCTGTGCCCCTGTTCCAATTAACCCACCAAGATAATTGCCCTATACCGCTCCTTTCTCAGTGCCGTGCTTGATTTTCCCGAGCAAGCTTATATAGCTAGCTGAATGAAGACCGTTGCTTTTGAAATTTCCCTGAAAAGGTAAGCTTCCACCCGAGACCGTTTGATTTGCTTGATTCCCGCCAATAAATCTTTGATTAGCTTGATTTCCAACTTTCCTTCTTTCAACAAATGCTTCACAACCAAGCAATCAAAAAGGCGGTTTTCACTTCTGTTTGATGGGTTCTTTAAGTCATACTCAGAACTCAGAAGCCAAAGCGATTAAGAATTCATGCATGGGTGTTCCTGAAACGTCTTGGGCCCAATTTCCATTAAAAAGGTTAAGAAGTCTTACCAAAATACGTAGACACCCTTTGATGTGTACTACATCGTGACTCATATCAATATTGGACTCATTTTTCTTAATAATTACTATAGGGACTCGGTAATGGAACGTGGAAGCATGCACGAAGAGAAGTGAACGAAGCGATGGCACATACAATGGCTAGATTGGTTGAGAGTATTGTGTGGGGTAGGTAGACCTCCATAGGTTTTGATTAATCAGCTTGAGTTGGATGATGTAACAATAAGTTCTGATTAATAAAATTTAACAAGTTAAAGATTAAAAAAAAAGTATTTATATATCGTCTGTAGAGTTCAACATCATATACTACGACCTCCGAAATCTCAGTTGTAAATCCCTTGTTCGTACGATATGTTCGTTATTACAACTGAGATTTCGGAGGTCGTAGTATATGATGTTGAAACATATATCACCCTTATCTAAAAAAAAAAATAACGAACATATCGAATGGACAAAAACGTTTGATATTAAACAATAATGTGCAGGTCTTGAAAAACTTCATCTCTTTAGGGTATTAATTAGGGGTGTTTAAATGATTATGATGGTAATTGTTAAATCAATTTAAGTCTAAATTCTATTAATCATGGGATATAAAATTTTAACCAACTCGTTCAAATTAATACAATAACCAAATTAACTAAATTAAAGTTTAATTGGTTTGGTTAATTAGTTCATCGTGCTAACCAATATAACATAACATTATCATTAGGTGAGAAAATCTCTTCTTAACGCATCAATCCATAATATATATAATGAATAAAACATAACAATCATTTAAAATAATTATCGTTGTAACCATTTAAACACCCCTAGTTAAAGGGTATCTTTTACAAGTTCAAACAAAATATAAACTTCCTTATGGCTAATGAATCCCATTCTTAGAACACTACCAAAAGTAGTACACATTCTGTGGCGACTGCTAGCTGTGTTGTGCTGCAAAAATAGTGCAATAACATCCTCTGGGCCCTGGCGTTGCTGCTATTTATATCCATGAACACATGAATTCTCCAATATTCTTCAAGTTTCACTTGGACTTCTACTACTTACTAGACTATTGAATTTTGTATTTATATATGGAGTCCATCATTTTCATCTCAGCTTCAAGTGTCATATACTTCAACCTCTGAAATCTCAGTTGTAATGCCAACTTATCGAAGGGAACAAAAGGGGGTAATGACAAATTTGGTCACTGAGATTATTAAATTGTGTCATGTTTAGTCACTAGAAAAAATTAATATCAATTTTGGTCACTCGAATTACCGAAACTGGTCAAATTTAGTCACTCTCCCGTCAGTTTCCGTCCAACTCCATTAATGTAGTTGGACGGAAACTTTTGGGAGAGTGACTAAATGTGACATGTTTCAGTAATTCGAGTGACTAAATGTGACATTTTTCAATAATTCGAGTGACCGGAGTTGGACAGAGGCTACAAAAGAGTGACCAAATGTGACATGTGTCAGTAATTCGAGTGATCAAAATTGATATTAAATTTTTCTAGTGACTAAATATGACACGATTTAGTAATCTCAGTGACCAAATGTGTCATTTACCCGGAACAAAAGAGTTTGATATTAAACAATAGTATGCTGGTCTGGAACATCTAAGGTACAAGTTAAAGGGTATCTTTTACAAGTTACAAAAAAAAAAAAAAAAACAAAGAGACAAACATCCTTATGGTTCATCAATCCAATTTGTACCGCGAAATATTAATGGTTATTAATATCACATTATGTGGCCTATGCTGTGCTGCAATAATTGTGCAATAAAATCCCCAGGCGTTGCTAAGATTTATCTCCATGAACACTAATAAATACTTTCACTAGCAAGCATATCACAAGAAGCCCTCAAACATTGCGGCCAACAGTTTTGAACAACCCTGATAATCAAAGATGACAAAAGATGGACAGAAAAAACGAGTTCTTACAATTTTGAGACCCCATTATCGATCTTTCTACTTTCATTTTCTAGCTTGAAGGGCCAAGGTTGCGGCCAGTGAATTGGGATCTAAAGACCGCAATGTAGCTGGAGAGACATGTTCTCCCAACAGCCCCTCACAAAACAAAAACACGAAAACTCCCCTGCTGCTCCAAAACACACATCATCACCAGGCAGGCATGGACCAAGCCGAATTATGTACAGGGAACCGTTTCCGATAAGTTATGCTCCTCGTGATTCCTTCCCTCCTACGTATTTGCGGACTGTGACGGCACCCTAGGGTGGTTATGTTCGCCTTCGTACGTAACAATGAGCATCGATGGTTCTTCCAGGCATCTCTCGACGTGTTTTCTCGCTGGACAACCTCTCATGCTGCTGCACTTGTAGTATCCCCTGCACCACGTTAACAAAGTTTCAGATCATCAGTCAACTGAAAACAACTGTGATATTCAAGATGCAGGCTCTCCCCAAGATTTACTTATCATCAATATCAGAATACTAATAGACAATACGTATTTTTTCTCGTTTTGAACATGCAAGAAGTATACAGAATTCAAGCCTTGGTAATAGCTGAACCCTAGGATGGATGCATGCGGCGACATTCTGACATGACACTACTTCCAACACCAATGTAAACAGAATGAAGAAGCGGTGTAGTCACCAAATACCAAGTACTATGACATCAATCTCAATATTTGGGTAAGAATTTCTATGGACTATAGCAATCTAAGAACAACTGGTTCAGCAGGCATAAGCATCTATAGATCGAGAAGCTAAGCATGAATTAAATTGGGTTTTTAATAGAACAAGAATATCAGCAGAAGCATATAGAAACATTCATCCAAAGCAGATATCCTTAAATTTAACATTTAAAAGAATATATATATACCTAGGGTGAGGAGAACCCTTGATTGGCTTCTGCCCATACTTTCTCCATGAATAGTCGTCAGGAGGAATGTCTGCAAGCTTGTTGCTAATTGCAGGAACCTTGATCGACCTCTTCACCCTATGTTTCCTGTGAGTAGGGGATTGCCAAATAGGAGCACCAGTTGTTAACATACAAATTCAAAGTTTATTGTAAAAGTAGAGGCACGCAACAGTAGATTGTTGACTAGAGTTGAGCAAAGACTAAATGTCGACACCTGGAATAGAAAACTTTACCTCTTCTTAGAACAATGGCACCTGCCACTGCTTCCACATTTCACACTTCCATCTTCACCCCTGGCAGAGCACTTCCTCTTGTGATGCTGCAGCTGTGAACTCTGGTCCGAAGAACGGGGTGCACCGATCAAATGGAATGATGAACTACCTTCCATGTTAGCCACACTACCATCTACACTCAAGGAAGACATGAAAGATCTAGTGGACGACATGGTAGGCGTGCAGCTAGAACTATCAAAATTCAGGTTAATCCCACTATTACTCCTTCTAAACATCATTTCGGCATGCTGCTTCATTTGCTGCTGCCGCTGGAGTTGCAGCCTTTGTAGCTGCTGTTGCTGCTGCTGCTGAAGGAAGTGATAATGTGCAGATGCTGGTTGTTGAGCCACATTGAGTGGGGTTTTCCCATTTGAGCTCAACTCCAAAGTAGAATTTCCCAAGCACAAGGCTGTCTTAGCAGTTGAACCCATTTCTTGAATAGGATGATGGGTTTCAAGGTAACCACTGGTCTGTAGAAACTGGGGACCCTTGGAAGGCGGCAGCGCCTGACCTGCTGTTCGATGAATTGGATTATCCAAGAAAATGTTGTTATTGGACAAAGCAGCAGTGGGGAATGGCTTGACTTTCCGGACCCTAGCATGACCTAAACCAGTATTGAGAAGAGAAACGACTTTCTTGAACTTAAACACAGCATCTCCAGTTTCCACCATCAAATTCCTGTACTGGACTTGATCTTGGGGCTGGGATAACAAATTCAAAACCCTATTGCAGCTCTCTACAGCTGCCCTGTTGGCTTCCTCAACTTCCTCCATTCCAATTTCCCCCAAAATAGACTAAATAGGCAACTAATCTAAACACCCACCAAAACCCTCACACTATCAACAAAAAACCATGGAAGCTCCCACTCCCTCGAATTTCCAGAATATCTCCAGTTCTTAGAAAGAAATTTTAAAGAACCCCTATTCAGCTTAAGCCAAGTTAATGGGACAAGAACCCTATTCTGATCAAAAGTTGCTTCCCTGGAAATTCTCTGGACCCCAGATTCCAGTTACCGCAGAATGGTTTCACTGCAAGTTGGAGAGATACCCAGATAAGTAAACACACGGAAGAAGACCAAATTCACACCATGGAAACAATGAAGAAAGTGAAAAAAATTATAGCGAAGTAGTGAGTGAGAACACAGACCTTAGAGTGGACTAGCCGCAGTGTAGTCGCTGGACACAAGAGAGATAGACTGGTGGGTTCATCGTCCGCGGTCTGGGTAAGGATTAGATAGACTAGTAAAAGAAATGTTAGTGTGAAAGGTAAGACTTTTGGCCTTACAAATTCACACCCAGGAACCATAAGCACACAAAGCTCCCATCTTTCTTACTTTTTTCTCTATTTTCTCCAATTTTTAATGGGTTAGGAGAGAAGGTTTGGTTGTTGTTTGTCACTCCCACTCCCACTACTGCTCTGCTTTTCTTCTCCTTCCTGCCTCCAGCCCAAGAAAATTTCTGAGAGAGAGATAGGGAGAGTGATGGTGGAGTTGGAAAAGGTGAATTTGAGAAGGAAAAACAGGGAAGAGAGAGAAGGAGGAAGAGGAACAAGGAAGAAATGAGAGATGTAACGAAACTGCCGTTCCTGTCAAAGATTTCAGAAAGTGGGTCCCGCTCCCAAAGACCCTGGTTCTTAATTATTCTCTCTCTCTCTCTCTTCTTTTTCTACCTTCTCTGTTGGTATGAGTTAACCTTTTTCTTTTTCTTTCAACTTTCATTGAGACAGAATGACAGTAGGAACTACATGAAGAGACTCCAAAGTCCAAATGGACCTGCAAAATCCTTGTTCTGGAAAAAGCCCAACTTAGTACCTAAGCTTTCCTATTTTATTTTTATACTACATGAGGTTTTGGCTTTTATTAATCACTACCTTGAATTTTTAGTTTTTGTTATTTTGAATGTTAAGTTAAAACTTATAAGTCGTTGGGCTGGTCCGTCATAACTATTATAAGTCGTTTGTTCCTAATAAGACTAGTTGTTGGAAGAAGTTAATTATGGATCATATACCACTTTACACGTCTTGTCAAATGAAAGTCAACTCACCCGACTTGAAATTTGCATAGACCTATCATACATTGTGTTTATAAGTTATAACGTTAATATTGAGGTTCATGGAAATTAAAACACATGAACACTTGACAACTTTGATATCAGGTCATAAATTTTTACCTTAATAATTCGAATTGTTGAAAGAAAATTAATTAGGAATGTGGTAATCTTTTACATAAGAGATCAATTTAGTAGTAAAGAACTTGAAAAGAGTTTCTTCCTCCGTTGGATGATGGTGTGAATTATAAATAAACAAAAATCAACTAATGAGTAATGAGACTCTCTACATAAGGGTGCGTTTGGATACAAGGATTTGGATTTGGTATTTGTGATTTGGATTTTCAAATACCAAATCATGTGTTTGGATATTAATTACATTTGGTATTTGGATTTGTGTCAAATTCATGGGGTGATTTCCAAATACATATCTAGTGTATTTTTTGTCAACTTCAAATACATTTCAACAACTAGTGATTTGAAATACCTCCTAACAAAAGAATGGACCTATTTGTAAAATATGAAAAGTTTAGGTACTATAGTGTGAGGCAAAACTTATAAAGGTACCAAAATGTAATTTTACCATCAAAATTTCAGGACCTTTTTGTAAAATTTTAAAAGTTTAGGTACTAAATTGTAAGAAAAAATAATTTTGGGTACCAAACTGTAATTTACCAAAATTTGTAGTAAGTGGCCAGAAAATTAAAAATTGAAATTGAAAATCATAAATACAAAAATACAAACAAATTACAAATGAGTATCCAAACAATGAATTTGAATTACATGTATTTCAAATGCTAATACTTCAAATACATCCATTTCAAATGCTAGTATTTCAAATGACTTACATTTAAAATACACTTATCCAAACGCACCCTAATAGAACTTGAATTCAAGTGAAACACAAAGAGAACTCACTCTATTCTTTTTGGTAGTTTGGATGGATCGCAATTTATACGAGACAATTAGATCAATTGTCTCATTTTACAAAACGAGTAATTTAAAATAAGTAAATTTGAATCGTTTGCCTCCACCCCAGACAAATGTAATTGTCTCAAAACGAGTCAATTTAAAAACATTTAGGCAGAATTACTTCATCAAAATTTTGTGCTGCCAAACGGATCAATTTGGCCATAGTGTTTCAAAACGAAACAATTGAGTCAAATTGATCTATTGGAATTCTTATTTAAACGACTTAGCATTTCGTGAATTTTAACTTTTTCATTAGCAGATCTGAATCGCTAATGCGATGCTTATTGTCAACTTAATTTTCAAATTTGTTCGGCTTAGTCCGGATTCATGCATGGTCTGAATTTTTTCGTGCTTATCGGTTTAAACTGCAAGTAAAACTTACTTGACGTATGGAAAGTAAATATCAAACTCATTTACTCATGATTGTCCCTCTAATAAGAAAACAGTTCAACGAAAACATAAAGAGTTTCTAAATTGTTTGAAAAAAGGTGAAGCAAACCTAAACAAAAGAAAAGTTTAGTGACTATCTCTGTCTCTTTTCCTTTTTGACATGCAAATAACTACAGTAACTTATCTTTGCAACGTATGTTTTTACTATTTTTATGTTACCGTTAACACCAAACGTTACCGGTTACTCGCCTTTCTCTTTTTTGCCTTCTATGTATGTTTGATCTTTTCTTTTCAACGTTTTCCTCTTTTTATAGAAACAGGAGAAGCTTGTGGTTGTGGATAGGGATGGCAATGGGTCGGGTTGGGTCGGGTTTTGCCAAACCCAAACCCAAACCCATGGGTTTATCTTTGAAAAAAGGGTTAATACCTTAGTTTGGCCCGAACTATATACATACTTTCTACTTTGGCCCGAATTATTGAATATTGCTACTATGGCCTGAACTATGTAGCAAACTTCCTCATATGGCCTGGATGCGCGTTTGACCGTCAAAACAGACGGTCAACTAAGTTGACCGTTAGTCAATTGCCACATCACCTGCCACGTAGACAAAAAAATTATATTTTTTTTTTACAAAAAATAAAAAATAAATTAATAACTCTAAAATAAAAAAGGAACGGAAAATAAAATAAAAAAAATAAAAAAACCCATCCCTATCTTCCCGCATCGATTCGTATAGGGAATTACCTCCCCCCTTTCAGACCCATCCTCTACCCCCAACTCCCTTCCCCGACGAATTCTGTGCGATTCGCGAAGATTCTCCGGCAAATGCAGCGGCGGCCGGTCGGTGAAAGACGCCGCCGTCGCTGATTCGCCGGACTCCTTCCCCGACTCCTCCTTCTCCCTTCCCCTTCGATTCGCCCCGCTGCCGACTCTCCTCTACTCTCATCTTCAATCTCACACTTCACTTCACACAGCACCGCCACTGGGCAACGTTCTCGATTTCTTTCTTCTTTTCCTTTTCCTTTTCCTTTGGTTTGATTGGATTGCTTCTCCTCCATTTTTGTCGGCATCGCCACCAAGATCTAGCTTCTGATCTCAGCACGCCACTCCCCCCATTCCCCTACCTGCTTCTATTCTGCTTGCCCACACTATGAACCGGCAATGGGGCTCCGATTCCGGCGCCGGTGGCGGTGTTTCTCCCGTAATGTCGCCGTCCCGTATCCCACCCGACGCCCGCTCCTCCTCTGCTTCTTCGGGCCTCTCCACCATCAAGCGAAACCAGAACTTCGCCGCCAAAGCCGCCGCCCAGCGCCTCGCTCAGGTCATGGCTTCCCAGACCGCCGACACCGACGATGACGACGACCCTGACGACCTCGATTTCCATTACAGCGCTCCTCCTCCTCCTCTCTCTATCTCCCGCACTGCCGCTGCTTCGAATGCTGCTGCTCAACCCGCTCCAAGGATCGCCAGATCCCCTTCCCCTGCTGTAAATTCCCTCCGCCATTTATCTCCTTTTATTTTATTTTATTTTTTTTCTTTTATTTTCCGTTCCTTTTTTATTTTAGAGTTATTAATTTATTTTTTATTTTTTGTAAAAAAAAATATAATTTTTTTGTCTACGTGGCAGGTGATGTGGCAATTGACTAACGGTCAACTTAGTTGACCGTCTGTTTTGACGGTCAAACGCGCATCCAGGCCATATGAGGAAGTTTGCTACATAGTTCAGGCCATAGTAGCAATATTCAATAATTCGGGCCAAAGTAGAAAGTATGTGTATAGTTCGGGCCAAACTAAGGTATTAACCCTTGAAAAAAACCCGGGGTAAAACCCACTGGGTTTGAAAAACTCAAACCCAACCCAACCCGTTGGGTATCCGCGGGTTCATGGGTACCCACGGGTTTTGTCGTAAAAAATTTACAATTACAAGTTCTTATCAAATTTAAAGTCAAATATCAATCTCTCAATACAAATTATCCATATATAAAACACCATTCTAGAAAATTCAAGCAAATCACAAATAAACTATACAAATTGTTCAACACCAATCTAGAAAACTCAAGAAAATTGAATCAAATCACAAATTATTCATAAATAACATGTTTAATTGAAAGCTTCTTCCTTTCAATTAAGTTTCTTTACTCTCCACTCCATAACATCAACTTCATTCTACACAATTAAAAATAAAAAATTAGACATGTCTCCACAAACATAAATAAGATTAGTTGTTTAGAATATTAAATATACCGAAAAAATTAATTATATGAGTGGGCGGGTACCCACGGGTCGGGTTTACCTAAACCCAAACCCAACCCAACCCGATGAATAGTGAACGGGTTTAAACCCAAACCCGGCCCAAAACCCGTCAACACGGATTTTACCCGCGTTGACCGGATTGGGTCGGGTGGATACCCGTGGGTTCGGGTTTTGTTGCCATCCCTAATTGTGGAGTTGGCATCTCCCGAACCAACAAACAAAACTTCTGCTTCATCACCCAACTTACTTAGCTGTGCGATTTTGTTGTATTCTTTGGTAATTTGCATTCCAACATGTAGTTTAGGTCTCCCTTTCCTATGTATCACGCGTTATTACTTTTTCTTTTGATTATCCGTTTTGCTGGTGGGATTTGAGTGTAGGGTTGTTACTCATGAACGGTTCGGTGTCCGACTCGAGAAAAAATTGTTCGACACTCGATTTGTCTTAATCGAGTCGGCTCGCGAACAAGCTCGTTAACTAAACGAGTCGAACTCGAGCCATATCATGTTCAGCTCAAAAGCTCGCGAACAAGCTCATTTAATTGTTTGGCATAAAAAAAAAGGATTAGAATTCATGTATTTTATGTATTGAAATTGGGATAAATATTGTGTTTTAGTTTGATAGACTTTGCTTCAAGTTTGAATGTAATTTTGTGCTCAGTTCTAAGTCAATTTTGAGCTATCATGAACATTTTATGAGCTGAACTCGATTTTGGACTCGTTAAACTTATTTGACGAGCCGAGCTCGAGTCGAGCTCGAGCTTTCATTTTCATAAACGAGCCGAGCTCGAGCTTGTATATTAAAGCTCGTGACGAACACGAGCCGAGCTCGAGCCTGGAAATATATTAACGAGCTGAGCCTGAACTATGGCAAAGTTCGGCTCGATTCGTCTCATTAATAGCCCTATTTGAGTGATAGATTTGGCACTCAAATCCCAAGTATCAATGACTTGGCACAAAATCTATTGTTTGCCAAGGGACTCAAATCCGTGGATCCACGGATTTGAGTCATTTTTTTAGATCCAAATCCGTGGATCCCACGGTTGCAAATCCTACACTTCATTTGAGGTTTGATATAGAAGGCAAAGTTGTGAGACAAATTCATCATAAATCCATGATAAAAATGAAGTTTTTGGTCAAAACTTGGGTTTTATAAAATTAATCGTTTGCTTGAGGGTTTTGGTCATGGATTTGGTCATGGAAATATATCCATCATGGACTTGAACCGAAATACATCGTTTGCCTTAGGGAATTAGGGAGATGAAATTTGTGGGGCCCACCCCAGGAATTAGGGAGATGGAATTTGTGGGGCCCACCACTTTTGGGGTTCCAAATCCGTGGACCCCACGGACTTGGAAGTTCCACCTTTTGAGGTGGGATTTGGGTGATGGATTAAAATCCATTATGGTAAATTACCTTTCTACCCTTAATTATTTCTTTAATTACAAATTTGTCCTACTTTAATTCAATGGTCATGCAACTGTAAACTTTTATAATTTCGTATTTTATAAATATGAGAATTTATCATTTCATTTTGTAATATCGTATTTTATTTAAATATGAATGTATATGTGATTTGTTAGATTCTCCTAGAAACACTTTATGCTTATCTTGTACATTATTATTTGATTGATTGTCGGATTCCACATCGGTGAGTTAGCAAGAAGATGATGAGTTGTAGCAATAAAGCGAGCAATTGGCTGCAATTGATACATAATATTGCGTACATTATTAGATGAATTGTTTTTTTTATGAAGGATTATTAGATGAATTTTTAATTAGTGCCAAGATGAATTGTTAATTAGTGCCAAATTGTAATACATTTCTATAGGGTTAATTGCAAGGATGGTCACTGGGTTTACTAAAACCGTTCATGTTTGGTCACTGCAAATATTTAATTTCATTCATGGTCACTAAGATTAGTTCAAAAGTTCAAGTTTGGTCACTCTCCGTTAGTCTCCATTAGTTTTTGCTGATGTGGCAGTCAACTATTATAGTTGACCGTTAAATGAGTAATGTGTCCATTAAAAAATAATAAAATATAAATATTTACAATTTCCACCTCATTTTACAACTATTAAAAAATAAAAATAAAACTTACCTCCACCGCCGCCGCTCCCCGCCGGCCGAACGACCAGCTCCGCTCGTGAATGTCCGCAACCAAATCACCGCCGTGGACCCCAACCACGAGCTCGAGCTCGAGGACCTGGAGCTCTTCCAGCGCAACGTCTCCGACCGATTCGCCGACCCAAAATCAACTGGAATATACCTCCGCGATCACGAAAGACCTGAGAAAAGCATACATCACCAGCTCGGCGCATATGATCCTGATCATTAAAAGAACGAGAAGAAGCTTAGACACAGCAAGTGACATTCATAGGATCCAACTAACACTCATCAGCACCCGAGGATCAGTTATTTATACCTTCAAGTCTTGCCATGAAGCAGAGGAAGGCAATCCGGTGACCAGAACTGCATAAAGAATCGATATGGAATTCACAATTAACAACCACAGACTAAAGCGAAAACATCAGGGGAACGGAAGAAAACGATACCGCGATAGTCAGTTCGCCTTGATGGTCCACGACTGCTACTGCTACTGTAGCTGTCATAGCGATCCACAGGTGATGAATGCTCGCGGCCTCCATGAGCAAGCTCAACCTTCAAACAAAAGAATGCATGCAGTGAACACCAAAACACCGGCAAAGCAAGTACCTCCTAAAATAAATAGACAGACCGAACAAATCCATCTCGAAACAGACTTACTCTTAACCGGTGGCCATCAAAGTCATACCCATCTCGACCACGAATCGCATCTTCAGCATCACGAGGATCCTCAAACTGAGATGCCAGATAACAATTCGGAATCATGTATGCATAACAAAACGCGAATTCAACTATGATGTACATACAAAAGTGGCAAAAAATCTACCCAGAAGTTGGAACTAAAACAACTACAACAGGAATGCATTCTACTCAACACATAGAAACCATAATAAAAAAAACCTCAATTACTCACCTCAACGAAAGCATAACCAGGAGGCCTCGGGGGCACTTTCAAGTCGATGTCAACAATAGGGCCATACTGCAATTTGACAAATCCAAATCAGATAGCAATCATTCATCAAGCAATTAATCTGTAACCTATATTTCATGATTTACCTTGTAGAACAGGTCTTCAACCTCCCTCAAGCGGATATCGCCAGGAAGATTAGTAACGTAAAGAGTTCGACTTGAACGGCTACTCCTACTCATTTTTTCGTTCCCACCTGGAAAAAAACCCCAACTGCGAAAACATCATTTTGCTGCACATAATCAAAACCCAGAATCTAAAAACCCAAATGGGAATTTAGAGAGAGAAACCGATCGATAAACAAACTGACCTTTACCAGAGAAAGATGGCGGTGATTTGGTTGCGGACATTCACGAGTGGAGCTGGTCGTTTGGTCGGCGGGAAGTGGCGGCGCTGTGAATATAAGTTTTATTTTTATTTTTTAATAGTTGTAAAATGAGGTGGAAATTGTAAATATTTTTATTTTTTTATTTTTTTATTTTTTTAATGGCCATGTCACTCATTTAACGGTCAACTATAATAGTTGACTGCCACATCAGCAAAAACTAACGGAGACTAACGGAGAGTGACCAAACTTAAACTTTTGAACTAATCTTAGTGGCCATGAATGAAATTAAATATTTTCAATGACCAAACATGAACGGTTTTAGTAAACCCAGTGACCATCCTTGCAATTAACCCCATTTCTATATTTGTAGTTGAATTATTAATCCACATAGTGGTAAAGAGTTTAAAATTTCTTTCTACATTTTGGATTAGTTTTAAATGAAAGATTTGGATTATAATATAGAAATATAATTAAATAAGGGTAACTAGGTAATTTGTATTTAATATCCACAAATCTAATCAAATAAAGTCCATAATCAAATCCATCAAGCAAACAATAGACTTGTTCAAATCCATAATGCCACCAAATCCATCATATATCCATGGTTTTCCAAAACCCAGATTTTACCAAAACCCTCATTTTTCAAATCCATGAAGCAAACGACCCGTAAGGATTTGTGATGGAATTGATCAATTTGGTTTTTGGATAAAACCATTGTTTGCTTGATGGATTTCATGATGGATTTTGCATAATTATATTTGTGGTTATATTATGAATTTACCTATCTACCCTTACTATCTCTTATTTATTGTTAGAAACAAAACAAAATGAGGATAAAATAGTAAATAACCATCATGGACTTGAGACACCCACACAAATCCCACCCTTTGAGATAGAATTTCCAAATCTGTGGGGTCCACGGATTTGCCACCCAAAAAAACTGTGGGCCCTACGGATTTGTCCCTACTAAATCCATCAAGCAAACGACGGCTTGTGTACAAAGTCCATGATAGTTTGTTTTTATGTACCAAATCCATGATGAAATCCATTAAGCAAACAAGGCCTAAACAAACAATATACTTTTTCAAATCTATCATAAATTCAAAGGTTTTTAAAACCCAAACTCCTCATTTTCAAATCCAACAAGCAATTTTTGAGATGTTAGTTAAATATGATCAATGATTCATCTCCCAAAAGAATTCTCAAGCAAAAAAAAAAAATCAAATATTTTTTTTATTTGTTGTTGGCTCCTATTTTAAAACCCAGAATGTGATAAATGTTTTCACCACATTATCACTAGGTCAACCAAAAAAAAATTTTCTCTCATATATTGGTGCTTTCAATTTCTTCAAAGAAAATTTATCTTTATTTATCTAGACTGTAAAAAGATTTTACAATGCAACCATAAAATAGATATTAAAATGTAATAAAAAATCAGTCATTTCTGTTAATACCAAATTTCAATTTCAATTTAGTGGTTGTGATGCTCACTTAGGTCGTCGACAACTCATAGGCTAAAAGCACATATTCCCCTTTATCCCCAAAAAAAGTCTATAACCAGTGGCTAAAAGATGGCGGGTTAAAAGGCTAAAAGGGGTTTCGGGAGGGTATGATAGTTTTTATTAGGGTGGGGGACTAAGGAGAGCGGATAAAATATGGGGACCAAAAGCAGAAAAGGGAACCAACATATCACCCAATATAGTACGCACGTGCAATGCACCTTTCCCCCAAGAGTGAGTCTCGCACTTTTTACTTTCTTTTATTTATTTTGTGTGTATTAATATTTTTTTTGTGATATTTATTTAGCCAAAAAAATTCATTTCAGTGAAAACTTTGGTCATTCAGTGGCTATTTAAAGTTAATTTTTTTATAAAACAATTGAATTTAAATCCTAATGACTATAATGCACAGGAATAGAAATAACTGCTATAAACGGGTCATAAAACTACTAGAAAAAGCTCTCCAAAATCCTCACCCATTTATACATCATCTCATTTCTCATTCTTTACATTTTTCCTGTACACCTAGCCTAAAAAACTTTTTTTTCTCATCTTATGTAATTTGGGCATGAGCAAGAGAGGAGATTGGTCCGAAGATGAAGAATGTCAAGCTTGGTACAAAATATCATGTGATGGAAACAAAGGCAATGATCAACGATTTCAAAAAAATAAAAAAAATAGCAGCGGATCGAGGGGAAGTTCAAAACTGTCATTCCAGGTTCCGATCTCTCCCAACAACCGATGGAGCTGTACAAAATCCTTTGCCAAAGAGCAAGTTCTGACTTCCGACTTAGAAAATAGAACCAAGCATATAGCATCTTATGGTCGATATATTAGGCGAAATACCGATACCCCATATGAGATGTCACAGGAGAAGGACCTCATAAATCTGTATGAACTAAATCAAATGGTTCTTCATAAATTTTCTCACTCGATGCAAAATAATTCTGAGAACCAATAGAGTGCTCAAATTTATTGGGCAATAAATTTTGACGAAACATCGCCAACAGTATAGCCGAATTTGGATGACCTAATCGGCAATGCCACAAATCCCAAATCGAAATATTCTTGTTCAAACCTAAGCCATCGAATTAACAGAAAAATTTGAAACTAGTCCTGTTGAAGAATTCATCAGTGTAGTGGACTTCATCGGATCTGCATCTGACTCGCCAACGTGTACATGCACCCCATGCACACGTTCAAGACCTACATGCACCCCATGCACAATCATCCTCAGTTAACTGCCCTACTGAAATATATTAGGAAGTAAACTAGGAACGTATAAAGTATACGGGAGAGTGATGGCATGTGACGAGGCAGTGCCACGACCATTAACAAACAAGGGACCACCAATGGCCATCCTAAGATTCATGTGAGAAACAATTTTCAACTTATCAAAGGTAGAACGCACATGAGTCATATGATTAAAGTGTCGAATTGAGCAACCACCGAGGAAACTTACCTGACATGGCACCTGTGCTAAAGGTCGAAGTCAAAGGCTCTTGCAACGCCTCTTGTATCATTCTCCTGACTAGCTCTAGACTAAAGGAAGATACCTCATTGCTACTCGAAGAAGACCCACCCGAAGCCGTAGGAGAATTAGACTCAACATAGAGCCATGTCCTCGTGGTGGAGCACTTCGCGTGGATGAGGAGCCAGCATTGGTAGAACCATGATTGGAAAATCGAATCTTGCCCTTTTTGCTCAATGTTGGGCATTCTAAAACAATGTGACTCGTCTTCTTACAGGAGTGCAGTAGTTATGTTTCTTGCAATGAATTTGAACATGCTCGGGTTCCTGACAAAAGTGAAAAAACACCTCTCCCGAGCTCGGTTGGCCGAATTGAGGTCGAGCGGAATTCCCTGAGCTACCAACCACAAAGGCAGATTCCGACGATCCACTATCTATGTGTGTCTGACTCTTCACGAATCAATTCAGCCACAACCTCATTCAGTTTAGTAATGCCACGATGAATCAACGATGCCCTAATTTGCTCATTGTCAGACCGCAACTTCACCAAGAATTGCATAAAACGTGGTTGTGTCCTCTCTTTTTGAACCTCAACAGAGGCGTCCCCAGTCAACAAAGAGGTCGTGACAAGATCATATTCAGTCCAGATGTGCAAACAATGCTTATAGTAGCTTCTTATATCCTGATATCCTTGAGCAAGACCCGACATATCCCATTCCAATTCATATAAACGAGAGGTATTTGCGCCTGAGAGTACGTACCGCAAATATGCCTCCACATCTCATGGGTTGTCCCAAGTCGACGAAGACTCAATGCTATATGTACATCGAAGGAAGCCAAGAGTGTCGTCACGACCTAGGCATTGAGGGTCTCCCATTCCTCCTTCTGTCGAGTGGCGTCGGCACCAGGCCGCTTCGACTCCCCCATCAATACAGAGGACAACTTCTTACCAATAATGAAGTTCCGAAATTGGAACTCACACAATGGGAAGTTGCTCCCATCAAACTTAGTTGTGACCGTGTCCACTTTATTAGGATCCATTCTCGCAAACTCCAACCAGATTAGCAATCAACGAATGCGCCAGAACCAAACAAACCTAGGTATGGCTGTTGCAACCTTCGCTGCACGAACCCGCAACAACGCCGAACCAAAACCTACTGCGCCAAAGATTGTAGTCAATCAAAAAAATACCAAGCATCGGATCAGAAGGGCTCTGATACCATATCATACTAAATAAATAAAAACCACAAGATTTAATGTAGTTTTCCTAAATGCCCGGACTAATCCATGGGAGAGTCTAAAGTTCCAAAGTCAATCTTATTAGTTAGAGATGCCATTGTGCCAGAGCTTGAACATACGTGCGGTGTGGTCATTAGAATTCATGTCATCTAAACCAAAGAAATTACAATTGATCCAAAATAAAGTGATCAGGTAAGGGGGTTCGCTTTAATATTGTTTTGTTCGCCTTTGCGCTAGCTCCTTTTGCCCTATAAATAATCAATCATTTGGCCACGCTCGATCCATTTTCTCCCTCTTGCACCGAGCCTTTGCTTTGCCTTTTGTCTTTTTCACTTTACTCCGATAGCTAGCTTCCCCTTCTTTTTGGTTTGGCTAAAGCTTAAAGCCAATAAAAACCAGAAAAAGCATTGGGATCTGATCATCAGCAGAAGAGGGAATAACCTATAAAGGTGGGCTAGGAAATTCAGCATATATGTGGTTAATAATCACTGGGTGGTTTGGTTTTGGTGATAGTTAAATTGATGATAAATGCATGTATACTAATATGCATGTATATAATAAAATTGGTATATTGTAGTTTACATCATTTGGTTTCCGTGATAGTTATTGTAGTATTTAGACAAGTTATATTATTTTTTGGATGAAATGTCCTTTTTACCTTTGCTTTTAATATAAAAAAGTAACACACATGAAAAAGGTAGTGACATAGTTGGAAGAAAAAATGACCCAACAATCTCCACCAAATAATCTCAACAATCTTTCAAAAAACTTGAGATTTAACTACCACTCATTTTGAGTGAGAGTTTGTGTCAAATCAAGCAAACAATGCATGTATTGTTTGTGCAAAAAATTCAAAAAAACAATGCATTGTGAACAATACATGCATTGTAACTATCCCCACCAAACAATCACCAAAACCAAACGAGCCCATTGATTCATTTCACTATTACCTACTTGCCTCTCATTAATTTGCGTCAAGAGTGCAAAAGTGGAAGGACGAGAAATTAGCAATTCCTTCCAGCGACGGATTTGAGGGCGGCTGCATGCTTGTTTTTCTCTTGCAATAGCTGTCTGCCATGAATGATCGCCGAAAAGCGTAAGAATTGATTGTAGGCCGTTACGGTTCCTCCATGCATGATACCAAGAGAAGAAGAAGAATAAGAAAAGAATTCGGGCGGTTAAAGTGGATAGCTCAAATGCTTTCATTTCTTTATCACAAACGTCTGGGAAATGGATAGGACGAAAGTCCCCTTAAGAAGTTCCTGGTTTTAGTCCTTGTGTGTGTAACTTATGATCTTATCGCAGAATTTGCTAACTGAAGTCAGTTCATGGATGATTAACTTCCTTTTCTTTCATTTTTATGATTTATAATTGAGGAAAATATATCACAAGACAGCACAAAATGTGTTATATTGGGAGATGATCAACAACAAATTATTGGTCTCGTGCGCTTTTATTCAGAGCACAGATTACTCCTAGTAACGATTTTTAGCTTTTACGGAGAGAGACTTGCTGTTTAGAGGAGTGAGCATATATCATTTATTGATTCGATACAAAATCTAATCGGCTAAATTGCAAGTTTGGTCACTCGAATTGCTACAAAATTTCACGTTTGGTCACTCGAATTGGTTTATTCCATTCGTAGTCACTTAAATTAGTTGAACAGTCCAAGTTCGGTCACTCTCCGTTAACCTCCGTCAGACTCCGTTAGTGTCGTCAGTTAACTGCTGACGTGGCTAACAGAGATGCCTAGTCACCCAATTTAAACAAAAAAAAATCCATCTGTTACTTTATTATAACCCAGACACATAAGAAACTGAACTGAATCGAACCCGTGGCCCTTCCACCCTTCTTCTTCTTTTTCTTCCTCTATTCGTTCCGTCTCTTCCTCATCTTCCACCGGCGGCCACCACCGCAATTCTCAATCTATGACAGAATACCCGCTACCCTCATTCATCTTCCCCATAGCTCTTTCACTCTTTCTTTCTTTCAAACAAATTGACATTGAAAGTCTGAGCTACAACAAGAGCAAGCAAAGCTTCTTTATCCTTCCAATCTCATCTCCGCCAACGGCACTAGGATCGAACCTCCATCTTATTTCGGCAAGACAAGGAATCAATTTCTTCCTACGTCGTCATCGCCAGTTGCCATCTGCTCCAAATCGACTCGTCGGAGGTAGGTAGAAGTAGGAAGTGCGTTCAAAGTCGTTGGAAGATATTATTCTCAATTACCACCATTGAAGGACACTATGTAATGTATAAAAGAAATAGATGGATGAAGCGGAAGAAGAAGCAGCAGCGTAAGAGCATTCAAGATTCGTCCCAAAGGCAAAGAAAAAGGAACAACAAGCGTAGCTATGACTGGGAAATGCAATCTGATTCATTCGCTACAAAACTAGCATTAATCATTAACATCGCATAGCGATAACACTGCCAATACTATGCCCCGCTCTCCCTCCGTTAATCTTTTTATAGCTTGGGGTCGTTTCCAGCTTGGGGATCTTGCCCAGCCACAATTTCAACCCCTAGACGTGGACACGAAATTGAAGAATCAAAGCTTCTCGACAATCTGTTAGAGGATATGTCGACGGAAAGAGGCGGGTGGCGTCAAGCCCCGACCTGCAGATTTGCTTTCTCTTCTTCCACGAACCCATTATGCAGAGGAAAGTTTTCTTCGAACCAAAAGACACTCCCTGAGTGCTTTCGTTGACCGTCCCCGCCTTCGGCTCAACCTTGAGTGGAACACAGCTTGGACGCACAAACCTCCAGTCCGGCAAAATCTACGAGCTCGGATTCAGCGAGACGAGATCCTGGAACGAGATTCAACTTGTTTAGCTTCTTCCATGAATCAATCCCAGGTCAGAGTTCGCTTGAGTGAAGATGAGGTAGGGAGATGGAGGAAACATAGCCATGGCGGAAGAGAGAGAGAGAGAGAGGCGGAAGGCAGAGGATAAGTATAAGGCAGAGGAGGCAGATTTTTCAGGGTGGGTTAATGGTTTTTTTTAGTATGGGTGGGTTGGGTTGTGTTTATATGAGGTGGCAGGTTTTTCTGACGTGGCGGGTCAATTTCTGTTTTTTCTTGGGTTAAAATTGGTGACTAGGAATCTCTGTTAGCCACGTCAGCAGTTAACTGACGGCACTAACGGAGTCTAACAGAGGTTAACGGAGAGTGACCAAACTTGGATAGTTCAACTAATTTAAGTGACTACGAATGGAATAAACCAATTCGAGTGACCAATCGTGAAATTTTGTAGCAATTCGAGTGACCAAACTTGCAATTTAGCCAAATCTAATCAAATAGGGATAGTGTTGAACCAAAAATAAAAGAAAAATCATTTCTGCCGCCGAAATTGATTCTGCTTGTCAATCGACCTAGAGTTCTCACACTGTCAGCATGGAGAATACAAAAGCCTAGAAATCAGAATAGCTCTACTGCGATAGCCACACAGGCTAGATCCGGCAGGCAAAAGAAATTGTGCTTCGAAATGATTGGTTTCACTTTGACAATCGTATTACTGAGGCAAGAGCATCATGATCTCAAAATTCACTAATCCTGTGCTAAAAGGTTCGCAAACACTCTACTTCTGGTCAGATAGACGCGATCTAATAGATTTACTGCTTACGACCCCTACCTCTTTTCGTCGCCTGCGTTTCCATCTGCTCTTTTCCGGTAACGTCTGATATATCCGCTGCAATGTTACAGATCAAGAAGGAACCGGAAAATGAGTCAGGCCAATTCAGAGATCATACATACCCCATAATTTACAAACAGAACTTATCCCTAGAGCTGCCCTTCTTAAGGACAGACGCAACACATCTGGAATCAAGAAGATGGGGTAGTTGGCAGGACCAGGGCAGCCAGTTAAATTTAGTCGAGCTATTAGCAGACAGTGGAAGAATCGAATTCACTGTAATGTGGGACATTATTTATTCTTCTAAGAAATGTTAGAAACTTAGACAAGAAAATTTAGGAAAAGTTATATTATACCATCAGGGCCTCGAGCCATCAGTGTGAAGAATATGTTATTCAGCTTCTCCATCTTCTTAGCATCCTGTGCCTGGTCTGTCTTGAACTTGAGACACTAGCAAAAGGCAAAAACAACGGTGAGGAAGAGAGGGGGAGGGGGACAATCTGTTCACTTCGAGTTTGTGCACTTTGCCTATTCTTATTTAGAGTAAAAACAATAGAAAACACCAGACAAACCAAACTCTCATACGGACAACGAAAGTGACAGGGCAAGATGTGTATGCAACTAATAGAAACTGAAAGCACAAACACAAGGCCAAAGTCTAATTATAAAGAGAACCTACTTCTGTCCTGTAATATATTTATTGCAATTACATTGAAGGCACCAAATCCTAGATTCAGGCAAGCATTAGCAGCAGAAACATAACATGTTTCAGAACACTAATCCAATTAATTGTTGAATCAACAGGAACAACTCACCCTGAAGTAGCATAATGTTTTCTATTATAGCCTTATTTTTGTGACAATTTAATGCAATCATGTATGATCAAGAAGGACTAATACGGTTGTTGTAAGCTTTGTTTAAGGGACACATGATTGGGAACTGCTAGTTTGACATGAATTTGTCATAGAAGAAATCCTTACAGAGCATGATAGAACCCCAAGTGCAGATCCAAGCATCAGCAAACATAATGGTTATACAGGTTCAATAGTATTTGGCTGGATGCATATGTTGCATTAGCCACTGGTGGCTGACTAGTTTTACAATTTCAATAGTTATAACTCCCTTCAAGTGAATATATCAAAGGTCATCGAATCAACGTTCGTACTCCACATGGGAGGCAACTCTATGCAAAGGGATGTTTATTGAGTCATAGAAAGGCCACCATTAATTTTGTAAGAAGCCCCAATATAACGGAAAATAATTGTAAGGAGCCTTCTAAACCCTATCAAGGCAACTGAAACCAAGGGAGATGAGAGACTGAATACAAAAAAGCAGTTCAATATAAAACCAAGGCTCCAAACCAGAAAGCACTGGAAAATATTGTATTTTTCCTTAAGATAATCGTTTTAGTGCAAATAGGGCATCAGAATCGCCAAAAAGAAGGCACTGGAAAAGTTCAGGCAACTATCGAGGGAATCAAAAGGCAAGCAGAGGGTAACGCTCACGTAACCATCAAAATTCAAAGGAATCCACATCTACAACCAAAAGAAAAAAGAGCTCCAAAGGAAGCAATGAAACTAAACAAGGCTGGAAAGTCATAGATGGGCAATCCTACATTCCTACTTATCAGTTTTCCCCTAACAAGTTGAAGCAACTAATGACAGAACCTAAAGATGAGTCAGCAAATGGAAATGTCCTCAACTATCTGCACTAAATGGTATTAACATATTCTCATGCATCACACCACGAGAGAAAAAAAGCACGAGTAGGTGAAACATTTGACTGCAAAATGAGAAGCTATCCCCTACAGGAATAACTATATAGAGAAGCCATCAAAACATAGTGCTCCCCACCCCATCAATATCTGAGGATACTGAAATCCCAACCAAAACGAACAGAATTCACCATGTAGCTGTTCATCATGACAATAGATGAGAAAGCTAAATGAATATCCTAGAAGGGAATCTAGCACCTAAGCCATAACATATACCTGTATGTTGTCTGTAACCTTGAGAACCAACTTGCCTTCACTGTGTCTGTACTTCATAGCGTACCGTGTCTATGTCCCACAAATTTCAATGGCATGTAACAATTGCAAACAAAAGCAAGACAAGTTAGTAGACCCATTACAGAGAGCATGGTTTCCCTTCAAACATTATTACCAATTCTCTAACCAGAGGGACCAGCTATAACAGTTGGAACTGAGGGTTTCACATTCATGTAAAACACGATCACCAGCTCAATTACCCCTCACCCCAACAAAATTTACAGTCAAATCTCTTCCAACAACCTTTCCGAAAACACAACAAACGAGAGAGTTTAGAGAGCAAGAAAGCGCACCGAATCCGGATCAGCGCGGAACAACTGTACTGATCGCTCAACAAACTCGTCCCAAGAAGTAATGTAAACCATTGAACGGAGTCGCAAGGAACTGAGAGAGAAGAAAATCCTTACTCCGTCTCGGTCTTCCCTGGCAGATTAATGGCATCAGTTTTACACAGAACCAACAAAAACAAAAATTTGTGATACTGAGTAGCGAAAGTTCGCCCCCTAACCCCTCCCAATCCCTAATTGTAGACAATCATGGTTGACACTGAAGATTGTTGATTACCAAGGAGTGTGAGACGTACCTCAAGAGAAGCCGGCCGGATTCAACTGAAGGTCTCCAAAGCCCAAACCCTATCAAAGAGAGGGAGGTGCAGGAGAATCGCAGACGAGATACAAGGGAATATGATAGCCGGGAAAAAGAAAAAACGAAGTGCTGAACCGCTTCGATTCTGATTTAAGCGGAGTTGCCATTGAAAGAGGCAAAGAATAAAAAGCTTTAATTTTTTTTTTTAGGAGTTATTTTGAAAAATATTTTTGTAATTTGTATTTACAATATTGATTTTCAATTTTCAATTTTAAATAATTGGATCTAGTTATAGCAATTCTTTTTTTGGTAGAAAGTTATAGTAATTCTAATGAATTTAGATTAAATTTCTAAAGAAATTGCACAAGTATTTTACTAATAATAATATAATTGAATTAAATAAGTAAATTACTTCTATATTTATTATTTAGCGCCAGTACACAGATTATGAACGTCTAATCCTCCTCTTTCTACCCATATATTAACATAAAATATATAGTTTCTCCTAAACTCTGCATTACATGCGACTCCATATTCCATATTATAAAGGTTAAGCGGCAAATAGAAAAAACTTTCCTACCATTTCCAAACTAAACAGCAAGCGACATTATCACCATTTTTTAGAAATGGATTTTCTATGAATATTGTTTCTGAATTGAAATGGAATGTCTAAATAAATTGCACAAGTATTTTACTAATAATAATAAAATAGAATTAAATAAGTAAATTACTTCTATATATAATATTTAGCGCCAGTACACAGATTATGAACGTCTAATCCTCCTTTTTCTACCCATATATTAACATAAAATATATAGTTTCTCCTAAACTTTGCATTACATGCGACTCCATATTCCATTATAAAGGTTAAGCGGCAAATAGAAAAAACTTTCCTACCATTTCCAAACTAAACAGCAAGCGACATCATCACCATTTTTTAGAAATGGATTTTCGATGAATATTGTTTCTGTAATAAATTAATAAAGGTTTAGTTGGAAACTTTTAATTTAATTAAGTTCTCAATGTATGTCAAACATGGTTTAAGAATTTAATTCATTTTATTTCTAAAGATTTGAATTTGACATATCAAACACATGAATTCATTTGACAATGAATTCTACACATTATTTCATCTTAAAATGAAATGAATTCTTGATTCATTTGGTACCAAACATTTTGTTAGTGTTTAATAAATCTAACCTAATAGTAGTTAAACTTATGTTTTTTAATTTTTTATATTTGTTCATGATAATTTGATACGAACATTCTGATAAAATCTAAGCAATTTCTAATATACTTCTTTATAGTTGAAATAATTAGTTGATCACTTTAATTGATGGTTCACATCTTCTTTGTCAACGGCATGGGTTCACATCCTTAAGCCCCAATACTTAAGAACCTCCTTAAGTTAATTTCAGCCATTAGATCAATCTTAATTAGTTAGTGGTTGGTTACCCATTTTTAAGTAGTTAAGGGTAATGATGGTATTAAAATTTTAATTTAATTAATGGTTGTATTATTAGTAATGGTAACCCGTTTCTTACGTTGGATGCGATAGGTTTTTTTGATGACCCTATTCCCTCGTTTGTGTAGCAACGAGGAATTCCTTCTCAGACATCTCGCGGCCGTGGCTCCAACTCCGATCGACCTCCGGCGTTTGTATTTTCGGCGACGATGAGGCTTTCCTTCTCGGCCGTTGGTATTCTTTCTCGGCCGTTCGTATTCTTTCCTACTAGCAGAGTTTCACGGCGGTTTGAAGTTAGTGCAGCAAAGTTGACTAGGGTTCTTTCATGAAAAAATTTGACTAGGATTGTTGATACTTTTGCGTTGCCGGTTTTTTGAAGTGGCCGGCTTAATTATAGGTTTCGGCGGATCTCGTCTTAGATTTTTTGCGTGGTCCGTTTTATTATTCGGTGTAGCGTCTTTTTATATAATTAGTAATGCTTTGTGTTTGATTATTAACGTTTATTGACGTGTTATTGAAAGTTTGATTCATCATTGTTAATGTAAATTGTTTAGGTCATTAACGTGTGTGTAGAAATTCTTATATTTGATTATTAATGTTTTTCATTACATTATGAACTTTTTATTATAAAAGAGTACGTGTTATTAAAGGTTTGATGAATCATTGTTAATGCAAATTATGTAAGTTATTAACTGATAATGGTGTGCAATTTATTGATTAAAATCTGTCAATGATAAAAAATGTGAAATTTTATTCGTTATGGATCAAGTTATTAATAATCCAACCAATTTTATTAAAAACTGTATTGGTTGCGGATCAAGTTATTGCTCATATTTTTAACACTTTTTGTTGTGATTTGTAATGTTTATGTTCCGTGTTGTTAATCATTTTGATCAAATTATTAACATATATAGATGTCGTTAGTAGGATGTAGGTCGAATATTATTAATCATTTATATTTTAATTATTAACACAGTAACCATTTTTATTAACAGACTGTGTTATTCATTATTTATTAACAAAAATGGGTGCATGGTAACCATGTGTGTGTTTCTATGATTAATTTGTCACTTTAAGTAGCATTGCTAACAAGTTGTAACATTACGAACACATTTGTTGTAAACATTTATGTGTCGTGTTGTTAACCATTATGATCAAATTATAACATAAATTGATAATGGTGTCTTTCGTTAGTAGGATGTGGGCCGAATATTGTTGATCGTTTGTATTTTAAGTATTAACACAGCAACTACCTTTATTAACAGACTGTTCATTATTAGCATGCTCCTACGTCATTAGTAATCGAATTCAATGGATTGTTAACATTTCACCACATAGTTAGTAATGTTTTCATTATTTTCAATGTTAATGCGAAATTCAAAGGTGGGGATGACGAGAATGCCGAAGACCATGTTGATAATGTTGTAGAAATCATAAATCATTAGGTTAAATAAATGCTAATAACGTGGTCTAGGTTTGTTAATAAGGTTGCACAATCATTAAAAGAAATTTATCCATTTTTAATCAAAACACGTCACTTTTCAACGATATTATAGAGTCTGTATAGATTTAGGTTTTTTCACCACGAAGAGAGAGGCGAATGTTGCAGAATGGGGAGGGGCGGATTTTTAGGGAATTGATAATGTTTTCTATTTTTTTAGAAATAAATATTATTGTTAATAACATTAAATAATTAAACGAACTACCTTATTTGTTCTTCTAGTTAGTTACCTTCCTCCGTTCTCTCTCCTCTTCTAATTGGTCAGCCAAAACTTAAGAAACTTCTTAAATTTGGGACTTAAGGATGTGATCTAACCGGTTTGTCAACGGTTGGTATTGAAGTTTAGTCATACCACTCATCTATTGTCCAGATGATTCAGTGATCTATCACTTCATCTTTATACAGAATTGTCTACTAATATAGTCAATAATTAGTACTTGAAACAATTCATCATGTATTCCTCTCAATCTTCATCGTCGGATGAGCAAGAGTATGTAAAGTTTGAAATGTTTGACCATGAACTCCAACAAGAACTCCGACAAATGGAGGATGAGGAATGTGCACCACTTCCCTAACAAGTTGGCAGTCCATGCTTCACTAGACGTCGTAAGCAAGTTGTCCGTTAACGCTTGATGAATGATTAGTTTGGTCAAAATGCAAGGATGCCAAATACGATGAGCCAACATTTAGAAGGCATTTCTGTATATACCCAACGTTGTTCTATCACATTGTAGGAGCGTGTTGGAGTTTAACCCAACATTTGCAAGAAGGGTTGATGATGCGTTCCCTCCTGACCAGTAAAGAGAGAGAGGCATCGGCCTGCAAGAAAGAAATACCTGACCAAACATAGAAAATACCCGACCGAGTGTTTTGGACGGGGGGACTAGGTAAAGGAGCAGGAGGCTGGTAGAAGGGATCAGAAGACCCCCCGGGCATGACACTTAAATACCCAATCGGATATTTATAGGGTCCGACCGGGTGTTTGACCTGGTGACGGGATTTTTCAATGTTTTAAGTTGTTTTAATTGCCCAGACATATATAAAGGCTAAAACTCGGGTTTTAGGGTTAGTTTTTAACAGAATATTGATGTTTACATTGGTTTTGAGCTTGAGGCTTGAACTTTTCTCTGTATCAATAAAGTTTTCCCCTTGATTGTGGTCGAGATTTTTCTTTTCTATATTGATTGAGCCTTCTCCCGATTCCGTGTTGAGATTGCACTTTCAAATCCGCCCTATCCATATCGTTTTATCCCTATCCCTTGCTGCGTTACTTTGATAATTACGGGTACCGGATCCGTGCTCGTATCAGGTGGTATCAGAGCTCCGGTTCAACACAGTGGTGAGATCGAAAGGCGAGAGCACCTGTTGTTGGTCGAACGAGGTCCAAATATCCGATTGCAGAATGCAGAGAAGAGAAAGAATCGCTCTCCGAAGAAGAACCCCGAATCGAAGAACAAGCCATGGGAGAGCAGAGTCATGATCTTGTAGAAGCCATGAAGCTGCTTGCCGCGCATATTGGAGCTTTGCTTCAGGCTCAACAATACGCTATCAAAGGTTAGCTGGTTGAGACGAATCAGCGGCTCGATACCCTAATCACCAGATTGGGAACTCATCCAAGGATTAATCTACCTCCACCAGAGAACCCATAAGATTTCACAGCTCAGACTGGAGCCGCGAACTAGGAGGGTCCCCAAGCATATTGAGTGTACCAAGCTTTTCCTGAGACCCCAGATTGGCAGGTGCAGAGGCTCCAATACATAGAGCAACATTGTTAGGTAATCCCGCAGTACAGACCTCCATTTAATGAGTATGAGAATGATTATAATAAGTATGGAGGAAGACCACCAGAAGCAGGGGGTTATGGCGTTGAACCGATTCGAGAAATTAAGCTCTCATTCTCATCGTTTCAAGGCACTATTAGTGCATCAACTTATCTCGACTAGGAGAGGAAGATGATTATGTTTTTTCGGTGCAATCCTTACCCAGAGCATCAGAAAGTTATTGTAGCCACCTATGAGGTCATAGATTATGCAATTGTTTGGTGGGAAAAGATTCAATAACGATGAAGAAGGAATATGCACCATGAAGTTTCTACTTGGGCAGAACTCCGAGGCTTGATGCGTGATCGGTTTGTGCCTCCATTCTATCAGAGAGATCTCCACGATGCCT